GACGCCCCCGTCACATGATCCTGTGGAGTTTCTTCTCTGTTTTCTTCACTCTGGGAAGTTTGTAGCATCAAAACTAAACTTCATTTAAAGCTCCACTTTGTCACTTTTCTGTCACTTTGTCCTGACGCCCCGGACTTCAGGGACTCGTACCACCGACGCCTGCCAGACACCTGCCAGACACCTGCCAGACGCCTGCCAGACACCTGCCAGACACCTGCCAGACACCTGCCAGACGCCTGCCAGACACCTGCCAGACACCTGCCAGACACCTGCCAGACACCTGCCAGACACCTGCCAGACACCTGCCAGAGGGAGACACTGGACACTTTTAGCTCTGGTTTAGTCCTCCCTCTTTAATCCTGGTTTAGTTCTGGTTTAGTCCCTGGTTTAGTTCTGTTCAGTTCTGGTTTAGCCCTGGTTTAGTCCCTTGTTTAGTCCTGGTTCAGTTCTGGTTTAGTCCTGGTTCAGTTCTGGTTTAGTCCTGGTTCAGTTCTGGTTTAGTCCTGGTTTAGTTCTGGTTTAGTCCTGGATTGTTTTTCATAAATATATCTCAGATGTTTTCAAACGATTCATTTAAAAATCTGTTATTTTTTTTCTAAATGGACCAAACTTTTTTTGTCGAACGCGTCGGCCATTTTGTGTGTTTTGGTGTGTCGGAAGAAAATCACGTACTGGGGCTTTAATTTACCCCGGGAAAGTGACGGAGTGTGGCTTTATTTTCCCGGAGCGCGGCGCAGGTCCAGTCAGTGTACAGAAAAAAGACCAACGTCACCTTTTACATTCACCACCTTTCACTTTGAAATATTATAACGTAACGAGTTTATGTTGGTGAGAATTTACCCCTTTATTTATTTATTTATTTATTTATTTATTCGTCCATGACCTGATTTGCCAAAATGAAGAGACTTTTTTTCTGTCCAAGCCGAAGCAAAAACAACATGTATTATATTCTCTTCTCATTATGATTCTCATGGTCCGGGTCCTGGTCCTGGTCCGGGTCCGGGTCCGGGTCCTGGTCCTGGTCCTGGTCTTGGTCCACATGTGTCCGTGTCTGTGCAGTTGTGTTTTTACAGATTTATATTTCAAGATTTAAAAACACGAAACTCGTCCATAAAGCTGCGGAAAAAAAATTTAACATTTAAGAATTTTTAAAAATATTCACATTTTGGTTTATTTGGTTTTTAACATGAACTGGTTTAGTCCTGGTTTAGACCTGGTTTAGACCTGGTTTAGTCCTGGTTTAGACCTGGTTTAGTCCTGGTTTAGTCCTGGTTTAGTCCTGGTTTAGACCTGGTTTAGTCTTGGTTTAGTCTTGGTTTAGTCCTGGTTTAGACCTGGTTTAGACCTGGTTTAGTGGTTTAGTCTGGTTTAGTCTGGTTTAGTCCTGGTTTAGTCTGTTTAGACCTGGTTTAGACCTGGTTTAGTCTTGGTTTAGTCCCTGGTTTAGACCTGGTTAGTCTGGTTTAGTCCTGGTTTAGACCTGGTTTAGTCCTGGTTTAGTCCTGGTTTAGTCCTGGTTTAGACCTGGTTTAGACCTGGTTTAGACCTTGGTTTAGACCTGGTTTAGTCCTGGTTTAGTCCTGGTTTAGACCTGTTTAGTCCTGGTTTAGTCCTGGTTTAGTCCTGGTTTAGACCTGGTTTAGACCTGGTTTAGTCCTGGTTTATCCTGGTTTAGTCCTGGTTTAGACCTGGTTTAGACCTGGTTTAGACCTGGTTTAGACCTGGTTTAGTCCTGGTTTAGACCTGGTTTAGTCCTGGTTTAGTCCTGGTTTTAGTCCTGGTTTAGACCTGGTTTAGTCTTGGTTTAGACCTGGTTTAGACCTGGTTTAGTCCTGGTTTAGACCTGGTTTAGACCTGGTTTAGTCTGGTTTAGACCTGGTTTAGACCTGGTTTAATCTTGGTTTAGTCCTGGTTTAGACCTGGTTTAGACCTGGTTTAGTCCTGGTTTAGTCCTGGTTTAGTTTGGTTCAAATCTTTAAAACTGTGAAATTTCTGCACCTGAGAGTTTTTAAATTCTTATTATTATTTTTAAATCGTCTCTGAACATGAACCTGAGACGTTCAGAGTTTAGAGTTTTAGAGTTTAGAGTTTTAGAGTTTAGAGTTTTAGAGTTTAGAGTTTTAGAGTTCAGAGTTTAAAGTTTTAGAGTTGTAGACGGCGGGTCAGACTCTCAGACTCACAGTGAGGAGGTGAGTGGTTCAGTTCTCACACCGGTGCAGGACTCGTAGATTTGTAAAACCTCGTCCAGCTGCTCGGACTTTCTTCTTCAGACATTCCTTAAAGTTCAGGTTTTGGGACCAGAGACGGACTCAGGACTCGGACTGAAGACTCGGACTCAGGACTCGGACTCAGGACTCGGACTCAGGACTCGGACTGAAGACTCGGACTCAGGACTCGGACTCAGGACTCGGACTCAGGACTCGGACTCAGGACTCGGATTGAGACTCACAAGAGACAGAACCGTCCCGTAATGTCCCCGCACGTCGCCATGGCAACTGCGGTGCTCCCTGATCCCCCCCGAAGAGCCGGATCTTTTCCTCCGAAGAGCCGGTTCTTTAACACTGAATGAGAGCTAGGACTGTTGCCATAGTAACACACCGTTTAGACCCAAATTAGTTTCGACCTGGTTTCGACCTGGTTTAGTCCTGGTTTAGTCCTGGTTTAGTCCTGGTTTAGACCTGGTTTAGTCCTGATTTAGACCTGGTTTAGTCCTGATTTAGACCTGGTTTAGTCCTGGTTTAATCCTGGTTTAGTCCTGGTTTAGACCTGGTTTAGACCTGGTTTAGTCCTGGTTTAGTCCTGGTTTAGTTCTGGTTTAGACCTGGTTTAGACCTGGTTTAGTCCTGATTTAGACCTGGTTTAGACCTGGTTTAGTCCTGGTTTAGTCCTGGTTTAGTTCTGGTTTAGACCTGGTTTAGACCTGGTTTAGTCCTGATTTAGACCTGGTTTAGACCTGGTTTAGACCTGGTTTAGACTGGTTTAGTCCTGGTTTAGGGTCGAATGAGTTCTGGGTCTGGTTCTGGTCCTGTTCTTGATCTGGTCCTGGTCTGGTCTTGGTCCTGGTCCTGGTCTGGTCCTGGTCTGGTCTGGTCCTGGTCTGGTCCTGGTCTGGTCTGGTCTGGTCTGGTCTGGTCCTGGTCCTGGTCTGGTCCTGGTCCTGGTCCTGGTCCTGGTCCTGGTCCTGGTCCTGGTCCTGGTCCTGGTCCTGGTCCTGGTCCTGGTCTGGTCCTGGTCCTGGTCTGGTCTGGTCTGGTCGGTCTGGTCCTGGTCCTGGTCCTGGTCCTGGTCCTGGTCCTGGTCCTGGTCCTGGTCCTGGTCCTGGTCCTGGTCCTGGTCCTGGTCCTGGTCCTGGTCCTGGTCTGGTCTGGTCCTGGTCTGGTCCTGGTCTGGTCCTGGTCCTGGTCCTGGTCTGGTCTGGTCCTGGTCCTGGTCTGGTCTGGTCTGGTCCTGGTCCTGGTCCTGGTCCTGGTCAGGTCTGGTCCTGGTCCTGGTCCTGGTCCTGGTCCTGGTCTGGTCCTGGTCTGGTCCTGGTCCTGGTCCTGGTCCTGGTCTGGTCCTGGTCTGGTCCTCACTGAAGCCATACGTGGTGCCTACAGATTCATCAACTGTGAAAAACGATTCTTTTGTTTATTCATATTTTTATTTTTATATCATTTGTGTTATTTTGAGTTTTTATCTTGTTTTTATTTTTTTATTACTTGTATAATTATTTTAGTTTTTTATTTTTTGCCTTTTTCTGCCTTTTTACAAACACTGGAACATTCCGTTTACTCCAGAATTTCGAGGAATTACAAAAGTGCTGTTTGAGAATTTGTGGTTTTAAAAAATTGTGTTTTGTGGAAATTTTAAATTTAAAAGTAAAAAAAAAAAAAAAACAAAAACATGAAACTAATTTGATTTTCACTTCAAACTCAGGCTCTGTTCAAACGTCCAAACACTGTGTCCATCTGAGACCAAGACCTGGTTTAGTCCTAGTTGGGTCCTGGTTTAGACCTAGTTTATTCTCCTGGTTTAGTCCTGGTTTAGTCCTTCTTTAGTCCTGTTTAAGACCTGCTTACACCTTTTTAAATAAATATATCTCAGATTTTTCGTCGTTTAAAATCACTTTTTAAAACACATTTCATATTTAAAAATCCTGTGTGTTTTTTCTAAATGGACCAAATTTTTCTGTCGTTTTTCTGTGTCGGCCATTGTGTGTCCAGCCCCGTGGCCCCGCCCCCTCTGCGATCAGCCCCGCCCCTTCCGGTCCTAGTCCCGCCCCTTCCCGTCCGCGCTTCGTTTCCGTCCGTCACGTTTTGCATGATAAAAAAAAGCTGCCGATTATAATTTGCTGTTTGGATTTGGATTTGTTTGTGAGTTTGAACGTTCCCGTCGTGGATCACTCACGTGTGAGGCACAATTTGAATAAACATATCATGAATATTTATAACGAACCGACTCCTGTTTTATTCACACGCCGAGCTCGCCTCTCCACAGACCTGACCTTTAACACTCACACAACATTCACACAACACAGAATAAAACTGGGGAAAGAGCTTCAGAAAGTGTTAATTCAACTTCTCTTAAATTTAATTTAACTTCCTCTAGTGTTAATTCAACTTCCTTTAGTGTTAATTCAACTTCCTTTAGTGTTAATTCAACTTCCTCCAGTGTTAATTTAACTTCCTTTAGTGTTAATTCAACTTCCTTTAGTGTTAATTCAACTTCCTCTAGTGTTAATTCAACTTCCTCTAGTGTTAATTCAACTTCCTTTAGTGTTAATTCAACTTCCTCCAGTGTTAATTTAACTTCCTTTAGTGTTAATTTAACTTCCTCTAGTGTTAATTCAACTTCCTCTAGTGTTAATTCAACTTCCTTTAGTGTTAATTCAACTTTTGTTAGTGTTAATTTGTCTCCTTCCTCCACTTCAAACTCCAGTGAGAGTAGACATGTCTAGACCAGTTTTGTTCATAATTTTATTAGAATTAACTTAAATTAACTCAAATAAAGTGTAAAAATAAAACTCCTCTGTGTGTTGTTGAGTTAAATCAGGATAACTCTACAAAGTGTTATCTGTTTACTCTCAAAATGTTCATAAAACTCTGGATTTCAGGGTTGAACAGGAACGTTGGTCCAGTGTTACTTCATGAACATTTACACAAATGTTAAATTAACTCTAGAACAGAGTGACTCAGATAAACTCTGAGAAAATGTTCAAACTGATTCTGTCAGAGTTCATTTTAACACTGCACTTGTTGCTGTGTCCAGACAACAGACGCAGGGACAGGGAGGGCATCTGGGCTAAATCCAGGCTTAAAATGTTTGAGTAGGAAAAACAAGCTCTGCTCCTGTCTGCTCCTGTCTGCTCCTGCCTGCTCCTGCCTGCTCCTGTCTGCTCCTGTCTCTGCTGCTCCTGTCTCTGTCCTGTCTGCTCCTGTCTGCTCCTGCCTGCTGCTCCTGTCTGCTCCTGCCTGCTCCTGTCTGCTCCTGTCTGCTCCTGCCTGCTCTCCTGTCTGCTCCTGTCTGCTCCTGTCTGCTCCTGTCTGCTCCTGCCTGCTGCTCCTGTCTCTGCTCCTGTCTGCTCCTGTCTGCTCCTGTCTGCTCCTGTCTGCTCCTGTCTGCTCCTGTCTACTCCTGTCTGCTCCTGTCTGCTCCTGTGTGCTGCTCCTGTCTACTCCTGTCTGCTCCTGTCTGCTCCTGTCTGCTGTCTGCTCCTGTCTGCTCCTGTCTGCTCCTGTCTGCTCCTGTCTACTCCTGTCTCTGTCTCCTGTCTGCTCCTGTCTGCTCCTGTCTGCTCCTGTCTGCTCCTGTCTGCTGCTGCTCCTGTCTACTCCTGTCTGCTCCTGTCTGCTCCTGCCTGCTGCTCCTGTCTACTCCTGTCTGCTCTGTCTGTCCTGTCTGCTCCTGCTGCTCCTGTCTGCTCCTGTCTACTGTCTGTCTGCTCCTGTCTGCTCCTGTCTGCTCCTGCTCCTGCTCTCCTGTCTGCTCCTGTCTGCTCCTGTCTGCTCCTGTCTGCTCTGTACTCCTGCTCTCTCTGTCTGCTCCTGTCTGCTCCTGTCTGCTCCTGTCTGCTCCTGTCTGCTGCTCCTGTGCTGCTCTGTCTACTCCTGTCTGCTCCTGTCTGCTCCTGTCTGCTCTCCTGTCTGCTCCTGTCTGCTCCTGTCTCTGTCTGCTCTGTCTGCTCCTGCTGCTGTCTGCTCCTGTCTGCTCCTGTCTGCTGTCTGCTCCTGTCTCTCCTGTCTGCTTGTCCTGCTGCTCCTGTCTGCTCCTGTCTCTCCTGTCTGCTCCTGTCTGCTCTTGTCTGTCTTACTCCTAAATCGAGTGAGTCTTTATCTTCTTCACCCTGGAGGAGGACGGGAGGAGGACGGGAGGAGGGGGAGGACGGGAGGAGGAGGACGGAGGAGGACGGGAGGAGGAGGACGGGATCTGACACACTGGGAGTCGTTGAGACGTGGATGTTCTGGTGCTGAGGCTGCGTTGTCATAGAAACTGATTTCCATTTTTATCGCGGGTTTGACGAGCGGGTGACAGCTGCGGGGGGCGGGACTTCCTGCTTCAGCGGAGCTCCAAAGAGCGTGAGAGAAACAAAACAGTTCAGTTCCTTCTCAAACGAAACTCAGCGCTGTTTTTCACTCACGTTTAGAGTCCGGGTTCACTCATCACATCGTTATTAAATATTGAACTTACACTCTGCGATTTAATTGATTTCATGAATATTCATGTTTCACCAACTATTTCTTGCAAGGAAAAAAAAAACAAACAACAACATATCTATTTACCTTTGTTAAACACAAACTTCAGGAACCTGTACTCAAAACAAGAAAATTACAAACTTAATTCTGTATTGTATTGTATATATATATATATGTGTGTGTGTGTGTGTGTGTGTGTGTGTGTAATAAATTGGCATATTTTCTTAATTTTATACTAAATTCTACAAAAAACGAACTTGATTTTATGATGTAAATAGTGTTTATTGAGCTCCAAAATATTGATCAGATACATTAATTTAAACAGTCTGTTACTGATTAAATTATTTATCTGCACATTTAATCTTTTATGAGACTGTAAAAAATGTTAATCTATAAAATTTTATGCAGGCTGTGTTTTAGTTTTTAGTATTTAAATGCTGATTATGAAATGCTTATTATTATTATTGTTGTTGTTGTTTTATTTACTTATTTCTTTTCTTTTCTTTGCGCTGATTCAAACGTCTTTAAACCGTGGCACTTCCGTCTCTTGTCGTATTTTTGATCTTTGTTTCCTCTAAACTCCATGTCCCAGAATCCCCCGCGGCCGTGACCGTTCTGTCAAACATGTCTGCGCTCGGGACTCTCACGCTTTTGTCTTTTAGAAACACAAACTCCGCTTTTACCGTAAAATAACGCGTGATCCCGGCGCGTGCGTGAGAGCCGCGGGTGTCACGGAGCCGAGCAGCACTTTGTAACGTCACACGGTGTTTTGACAGTTTCGTAGTTCGCTCCGCGGCTGAAGCTAACGCTGTGAACATGATTCTGCCTGCGCTGCTGCGGAGCGCGGCGCGCGCGGCGGAACCGCAGATTTTCTCAAGTTTTTCACGATTTAAAATCCACAGACGCAAAGTGTCCGGATCCGGTGTGAACAGAGCGACACGAACCAAGAGGATGAAAACAAAACACTTCAGCACTTCAAGACTCATGAGCTCCCAGACCAACAAGGTACCGGGTTTATATAGTCCGGGTTTATTTAGTCCGGGTTTATATAGTCCGGGTTTATATAGTCCGGGTTTATATAGTCCGGGTTTATATAGTCCGGGTTTATATAGTCCGGGTTTATTTAGTCCGGGTTTATATAGTCCGGGTTTATATAGTCCGGGTTTATATAGTCCGGGTTTATATAGTCCGGGTCTATATAGTCCGGGTTATATAGTATATAGTCCGGTTTATTTAGTCCGGGTTTATATAGTCCGGGTCTTATATAGTCCGGGTCTATATAGTCCGGGTCTATATAGTCCGGGTTTATATAGTCCGGGTCTATATAGTCCGGGTTTATATAGTCCGGGGTTTATATAGTCCGGGTTTATAGTCCGGGTTTATATCCGTATAGTCCGGGTCTATATAGTCCGGGTTTATTTAGTCCGGGTTTATATAGTCCGGGTTTATATAGTCCGGGTTTATATAGTCCGGGTTTTATAGTCCGGGTTTATATAGTCCGGGTTTATTTAGTCCGGGTTTATATAGTCCGGGTTTATATAGTCCGGGTTTATTTAGTCCGGGTTTATATAGTCGGGTCTATATAGGGTCTATATAGTCTATATAGTCGGGTTTATTTAGTCCGGGTTTATATAGTCCGGGTCTATATAGTCCGGGTCTATATAGTCCGGGTCTATATAGTCCGGGTTTATCGGGTTTATATAGTCCGGGTTTATATAGTCCGGGTCTATATAGTCCGGGTTTATATAGTCCGGGTTTATATAGTCCGGGTCTATATAGTCCGGGTTTATTTAGTCCGGGTTTATATAGTCCGGGTTTATATAGTCCGGGTCTTATATAGTCCGGGTTTATTTAGTCCGGGTTTATATAGTCCGGGTCTATATAGTCCGGGTTTATATAGTCCGGGTCTATAGTCCGGGTTTATATAGTCCGGTTTATTTAGTCCGGGTTTATATAGTCCGGGTTTATATAGTCCGGGTTTATTTAGTCCGGGTTATATAGTCCGGGTTTATATAGTCCGGGTTTATATAGTCCGGGTCTATATAGTCCGGGTTCATATAGTCCGGGTCATATAATCCGGGTTTATATAGTCCGGTTTATATAGTCCGGGTAGTCCGGGTTTATATAGTCCGGGTCTATATAGTCCGGGTTTTATATGTCCGGGTTTATATAGTCCGGGTTTATATAGTCGGGTTATATATCCGGGTCTATATAGTCCGGTCTATATAGTCCGGTCTATATTAGTCGGTTTATATAGTAGGGTCTGGGTCTATATAGTCCGGGTCTATATAGTCCGGGTTTATATAGTCCGGGTTTAATCCTGGTTCAGTCCTGATTTAGTTCTGTTTCAGTCCTGGTTCAGTTCTGGTTTAGTCCTGGTTTAGTCCTGGTATAGACCTGGTTCAGTTCTAGTTTAGTCCTGTTTCAGTCCTGGTTTAGTTAAAGTGTCTTAAAACGCAAAAAAACCCCAAAAACATTAGTATAATTTAGGCTGTGCACCTGTCTCTCCTGCACCTCTCCTGCACCTGTCTGTCCTGCACCTGTCTGTCCTCTGCACCTGCACCTGTCTCTCCTGCACCTGTCGCTCCTGCACCTGTCTCTCCTGCACCTGTCTCCCCTGTCGGCAGGAGTCTGTGGACCTGTCTGTGTTTCCCGTCGACAGAATCAGGAACTTCTGCATCATCGCTCACATCGACCACGGAAAGAGCACGCTGGCCGACCGACTCCTGGAGATCACAGGTCTGGACCGGGACCGGGACCGGGACCAGGACCAGAGGACCAGGACCAGGACCGGGACTAAAACCAGGACTAAGACCAGGACCAGGACTAAAACCAGGACCGGGACTAAAACCAGGACTAAGACCAGGACCGGGACTAAAACCAGGACCGGGACCAGGACCAGGACCGGACCAGGACCAGGATCAGGACCAGGACCGGGACTAAAACCAGGACTAAAACCAGGACCAGGACCGAGACTAAAACCAGGACGGGACTAAAACTAGACCGGGACTAAAACCAGGACCAGGACCGGGACTAAAACCAGGACCAGGACTAAAACCAGGACCAGGACCAGGACTAAAACCAGGACCGGGACTAAAACCAGGACCGGGACTAAAACCAGGACCGGGACTAAAACCAGGACCGGGACTAAAACCAGGACCGGGACTAAAACATGACTAAACCAGGTCCTAACCCAGATCTGACTCAGGTCTAACTCAGGTCTAACTCAGGTCTAACTCAGGTCTAACTCAGGTCTAACTCAGGTCTAACTCAGGTCTAACTCAGGTCTAACTCAGTCTAACTCAGTCTAACTCAGGTCTTACTCAGGTTTACTCAGGTCTAACCCAGGTCTAACTCAGGTCTATCCCAGGTCTAACCCAGGTCTAACTCAGGTCTAACCCAGGTCTTACTCAGGTTTTACTCAGGTCTAACCCAGGTCTAACTCAGGTCTAACTCAGGTCTAACTCAGGTCTAACTCAAGTCTAACTCAGATTTAACTCAGGTCTAACTCAGGTTTACTCAGGTCTAACCCAGGTCTAACTCAGGTCTAACTCAGGTCTAACTCAGGTCTATCCAGGTCTAACCCAGGTCTAACTCAGGTCTAACCCAGGTCTTACTCAGGTTTTACTCAGGTCTATCCCAGGTCCCAGGTCTAACCCAGGTCTAACTCAGGTCTAAGGTCAGGTCTAACTCAGGTCTAGGTCTATCAGGTCTAACTCAGGTCTAACCCAGGTCTAACCAAGGTCTAACTCAGGTCTAACCCAGGTCTAACCCAGGTCTAACCAGGTCTAACTCAGGTCTAACTCAGGTCTAACTCAGGTGTGACCTTGTTGCTCTTGTGGTTCAGGGGCGATTTCTGCCACAGAGAAAAACCGTCAGGTGTTGGATCAGCTGCAGGTGGAGCGAGAGCGCGGCATCACCGTGAAGGCCCAGACCGCCTCCCTGTTCTACCACCACCAGGGGGCGCCACACCTGCTCAACCTCATCGACACACCGGTAACAACACACACCTGAGCAGACACACACACACTCACACACACACACACACACACACAGACACACAACACACACCTCACACACAACTCACCTGCGCAGACACACACTCACCTGCGCAGACACACACTCACCTGCGCAGACACACACTCACCTCACCTGCGCAGACACACACTCACCTGCGCAGACACACACACCACAGACACACACTCACCTGCAGACAGAGCACACACACTCACCTGCACAGCAGACACACACACACAGACTCACACACAGACACAACACTCACTGCACACAGCACAGCACACACACACCTGAGCAGACACACACTCACCTGCACAGACACACACTCACACACACTGCACACACACACACTGAGCAGACACACACTCACACACACTCACCTGCGCAGACACACACTCACCTGCGCAGACACACACTCACCTGCGCAGACACACACTCACTCGCGACACACACTGCGCAGACACACTCACCTGACAGACACACACACTCACACACTCACCTGCACAGACACACACCAGACACCTGAGCAGACACACACTCACTGCGCACAGCACACAGAACACCGCGCAGACACACAGCAGACACACACTCACCTGCGCAGACACACACTCACTCTGCGCAGACACACACTCCTGCAGACACACACTCACCTGCAGACACACTCACCTGCAGACACACACACACCTGAGCAGACACACACTCACCTGCACAGACACACACTCACCTGCACAGACACACACACACCTGCGCAGACACACACTCACCTGCGCAGACACACTCACTCACCTGCGCAGACACACACACACTCACCTGCGCAGACACACACACACTGCTAAATGCTTTTTTTAATGCCTCTTTAGTGTCGTACACGTTGTAGTTTTTTGTCATGTTTTTGCTCTGTGCCTCTAGGGTCACGTGGACTTCAGTTACGAGGTTTCTCGCTCCATCTCGGCCTGTCAGGGAGTTCTGCTCATCGTGGACGCAAACCAGGTACAAACACGGAAACGACAAAACACGGAAACGACAAAACACGGAAACGACAAAACACGGAAACGACAAAACACGGAAACGACAAAACACGGAAACGACAAACACAGAAACGACAAAACACAAACGAAAAACGAAAAACACGGAAACGAAAACACAAACGGAAAAACGAAAAAAACACACGGAAACTGAAACTGCTGCTGGCAACAAACACACATTTAGTCCAGACAGAAATTCACACAAAAACACGTTAATATTTGAAGGTCGTGTTATTCCAGACTTTTTCTCAGCGGCATTAAAATAATCATTAGTTTTGATTTCAGGGCGTCCAGGCTCAGACTGTGGCCAACTTTTATCTGGCGTTTGAGGCTCAGCTCACAGTCATCCCCGTCATTAACAAGGTATTTCAAATCTTTCACTATTCAAGACGTTTTCTAAAACTGAAATAAATAAATTAAATTCAATTATTCTGTGGTATTTTCTGTGCTTTTGTTTCACAGATCGATCTGAAGAACGCAGATCCAGAACGAGTGGAGGCTCAGATCGAGAAAGTGTTCGACATCCCAAGAGACCAGTGCATCAGAGTGAGTCTCACAGA